AACGGTCGTAAACTGTAGTAGGAATGCCCGAAACCCGAAACCCGAAACCCGAAACCCGAAACCCTAAACCCTAAACCCTAAACCCTAAACCCTAAACCCTAAACCCGAATCACCGTGATCTGAGGTCATTCGCGTAATCACGGCGATTTTCTTGAGGGAGACCCTAGAGGCCGCCAACAATGATGCAGAGCTCATGGTCCAGGAGGGCTTGAGAAGCTTGGAAGCCCAGTGGTACCCTTTTGGGGGTTTAGGGTTTAGGGTTTAGGGTTTAGGGTTTAGGGTTGAGGGTTGAGGGTTCAGGGTTCAGGGTTCAGGGTTTCGTTAGGGTAGCCCAGTGGAACCCTTTTATCCTTTTTTTGGGTTCTGGGTTCCCTTATGAAATAACCAACCCCCCAAGAAGGGCGCCCTTATCAAAATATGATGACTGGGTTACCAAGGAAGAAAAGCCACCTACATCCACAAGCTCGAGAGCAACTGCGCTTGCAGAGTTATGGGCTCTCGGTTTTTCCTTCGTGCCTATTCTGTTCTGACTCTACTTGCTCCCCAGCGCCAGATGGTCAGTTCGCTAAAGCATGGCCTCCCGAACTCCAAAAGATATCAGAAGCTGGAGAGATGGCAAGAAACCCGACATGCTAGGCCAGTTTCACGCTGCCACAGCCTTACCAAGAATAGTTTGTTTGTTGATAAGCCTCGTCCAGCAGAAGCGCAATACACAGAGCTCACGCATGCATGACATATGCAAGAACCCTAGACCCAAAACCCTATACCCTGAACCCTAAACCCTACACCCTAAACCCTAAACCCCAAACGGCTGTGTGGGTTCTGCGGGCTGCATGCATCGTCGCCTGACCTTCGAATCCAAACAAGTCCTGTTTCGGCCCCTCATGGGATTAGGGTTTAGGGTTCCGGGGGTAGGGTTTAGGGTGTTGTGCATGCTTGGGGTTGAAGAAATTTAAGGCACTTTGGGCCTTGAGAGGGTTTAGGGATTTAGGGTTTATAGGGTGATGTCCGAGGCATCTTCAATGCAATTGATGAAAGCCAGGATGGCTTGATTGACGAAGAAGAGATGATACTTGGCGACCCCGATCCCCTCTGTAATCGTCCTTTGCAAGGGAATGTGGGGTATTTAGTTCCCTACTCCCTACCTGTGGGAACCACGAAATCAAACAGGACGTCCTACCTTTAAACCCAGGCTTGGCAATGGCCTGGTTTAGCAGCTCAGCGCTTGGCCAAGCTCATTAAGGGGTATAAGGAGGTATACCGCCCCTAAATAACCCCGAAATTCCCTTACGAGGGTCCCTCCTTTAGTCCCTTGAGCTCAGCCTTGCGAGGAACGAGCTCTTCATGGACTCGCGTGTCACAACCTACCTGGAAACGCTCGATATCGACGTGATGCAGTCAAGTGCGCTGTTCCACTTGCTTGCCAATGGCAACTCTGCAGCTAACATTTTGGGCCCGTTGCTTTGAGGTTCCCCTAAACCCTAAGCCCCAAACCCAGGCATGACGGGTATTTCAGAATTTCCTTAGGCACTTCAAGCAGGGGCCAAAGTCCACGCATTCGTTCACAGGGCAACGCATAGGTTCGAGCACGTCGTCATCATCATCGTCATCTTTATCATCCTCCCCTCCCCTCCCCCCTCCCTTCTCTGCCCTCCCCCCTCTCCCCTCGACTCTCCCCCTCATCCTTAACCGTACCTTCTGACTCCTAACAAACACCACAAAAGCATTTTCATAAAGACGCCCCCACGTGACCCCAAAAGTCCCTTGTAGTATAAGGGTCTTTGTTCAACTTTGTTCAATGCAATTCAAGGTGATGGTCAGATAACCTGCGCGGGCCCCAGTCAGTACTGTGCCCCTCTTTGTGGGGGGTCTAGGGTTCAGGGCTACTACTACTATTTGCTTAAGAAACGCCACGAAAATGAGATGTTCTCTCCCTTATAAGGGCAATGTAGGGATTAATTACCAGTTATTACTGGGTTTAGGGGTTAGGGTTTAGGGTTTGGGGTTTAGGGTTTGGGGTTTAGGGTTTAGGGTTCTTGAAGCATTTTTCTGCTTGCCGTGGGTCTTGGCATGGTGCAAGGATGCAGCACGTGCTGTTTGGGGTGGGGTGTAGGGGTAATGTAAGGCGTAGGGTTTCGTGAGTAGAGTGTAGGGATCATCTGCACGGTAGCACGATGATCACAACCCCCCCCCCCCGGTCGAAGATTTGCTCTACTTCTGCCAAGTTGGCCCGCAGGAAGTGCTTGCAAAGCGCGCCTCAGCATCTGGAGGTTCAAACAAATCGTGGGCCATTTCGGATGTAGGGTCATCATTGTATTTTAGGGGTGCCATAATTCAGATCAACCTCCATGTGAGTCGAAGTGAACGCCCAAAGGCCGAAGCCCTAAATCCTAAACACCAACCCCCCAAACCTAAACCGAAACCTGAGGTGGCGATTTCATCGACGGCATCCTGCGTTGCAAGGGGCCTGCCCGGGCCATCGATCAGTGCCTCTGAAGAACAGTCTTTGGCAGCTGGTTAGGGCCTCTAGGATTAGGGAGCTCAATGCCCCTGTCCTAAGGAAAGCTCCCTTAAAAAGGAGGGCCCCCCTCTCTCGCTCTCTCTCTCTCTCTATATATATATTATATTATAATATATATATATATATATAGACATATCTCTCATATGTATATATATATATATGTATATATATATATATATTTAGACATACATATGTATGTGTATATATATATATGTACACATCACTTAGTTGTGGCATCTTGGGCTCCTATAAGCCCTCGGTGCCCGAAAAAAAACCCCACCAAGGATCATGATGCAGAAAGACGTACGAGCCGTGGCAGAGCAAGTCCAGCCCCCCGCCTTGATAAAGGGGCATCGAGGCCGTTGGTCACATGTGCCCAGAGACTCCGAGACCCCCTTAATTCAGGAATATACCTTGAATGATGTTAGGAACCCTTTTATATGATTTCAGGTATATTCCTGAATTAAGGGGTCTTGGAGTCTCGCACCACCTGTCGGGGTGGCCGCCGTTGCTGCGTGATGGTTGTGTTCGTTGTGGTTGCGGTTGTGATCGAGGGGGGTGGCAGTTTGGGTTTTGCTGCGTTGCCTGTTCTTCTATTCTTGGGTGGTGAGAGGCATGTGCGAGTTTCACGGCGTCATCATGCCTGGCAGCCTGCTGCATGCACCTGTGTTCCAGTTCACGTGGACTGCAGGGCGCTCACAGATGCCCTGGAGAATGCCAATGTGATCCCCAAGAGAACGCAGAGAGGTTCGTGGAATAGTCGACGCCGAAGAAAATCCATCATTGATGATCAGATCACGTTTCTGAGTTGCAAAGACGTACGGAACCATGGAGGTGTAAAGGAAGGAGTGTAACGGGGGCCCATGTGGCCTTTACGCTCTCCCCCGGCAAAAGGGACCCCTAGTTGCCGGTAACTCCCACATGGTTTCCCGATGCCCGTGCTGCCACTTGTGCACGCATGTGTTTCGCAATGATGAGTCCTTGATTCCGCTGAGGCTTCTAGGCACTGCCAAGATGACGGACGCGGCGCGCTACGCTCCGTGAGCCGTTTCAACCCCTTCCCGACTCGTAGTACTTGATATGGGGGATTTTTCCAAGATGAGAGTACCTGTGGGCACCCCTTATATACATACCCCAAAGTAGACAAACATCACCTTTGCGAGGATGAACCGCCCCTCCCTCCCCGCCCCACCCGCAACAAGAAAAGACAAAACCCTAAACCCTAAACCCTAAACCCTAAACCCTAAACCCTAAACCCTAAACCCTAAAACCCTAAACCCTAAACCCTAAACCCTAAATGAGTACCAGAATCTTGGGAATCCTCCATGAAATTGGTGGGGGTCTTGTGTTCACAGGATCCCATGCAAGATCCCCAAAAGGGACCGCCCCCCAGATTGATAGGGCAGAACTGGCCCTCTTGTTCCTTAGTGAGCCCTAACATGTACTGACTTTATCCCGATTATGTCCTGCGTACTTTCCTGACATCAGGAAAGTCTCAGGAATCCCTTCCTAGGGGCCCTTGTCATCGTTTCCTTTCTGGGGCGGCGCCCCTTGATTTCCTGTGGCTGTGGTGCTTCAGTGCGGTTTGAGCTGCCACTTGTGGATGTCTTAAACTTGAGACACTCACTTGGGTGGCTGTCAAAATTATGGTCCCTTTATGGATCCCTATTCTAATACGGCACCTAATATTTAGGGTATCCCAAACAGGGATCATAATTTTGACAGCCACCCACTTGAAGGCAGTACCCTGACAATCCGAGATCCATGCCAGGAATCAGGGCCTTGGTGGAGTTGACTCTCTACTTGCTAGCCCAGTGGTACCCTTATTACCCTTTTTTTTGGTTATGGGTTCCCTGAATGAGAAACAACCTGGAAAAAAAAATCCAAAAAAGGGTGCCCTTATTGTAATATGGTCACTGGGCTACCAAGTTCTTGACACATCCCAAGGATGGTGTCTACCATGTGCCAATGTCGGCCTTGCTGAGCTCACTCTGATCTAGCGTGACCTTGGCGTTGCCAGAGGTTTTGACGCCGATGACCCGCCAAACCCTAAACCCTAAACCCTAGACCCTGACCCTAAACCCTAAACCCTAAACCCTAAACCCTAAACCCTAAACCCTAAGCCCTAAGCCCTAAACCCTAAACCCTGACCTGCTGTTCAGGTGCAGGTTGAAATTGAAGCCCGTTCGGCGCTCAAGCCTTGCACGGCTCTTCCGGAGAACCCTTGTCAAGCAGATTTGCAGTGTCGCACTTGCGGCACCGAAGATGACCTGAGAATGCCATCCCATCAAGCTTGAAAGGCTTGCACGCGGTGGTGTGCTCAGTGCTAGCGCACCTCTGCCTGGTTTCAGCGCTTGCTTGCTGAGAACGAGCTCAAAAAAGACTGGCCGCGTCTGTGGAGTCACAAGGTCAGGGGCATCCCTAAACCCTAAACCCCTAAACCCAAAGAACCTGCTGAGAAAATTTCTGCCCCGGTGAGGCGTCACGAGCACCTGATGGACGCGGTAGCCCGAGAGCTAGCAGAGGGAGCTGGGAACTGGCCAGGGCCCGAAGGAATCCTGGGATTTGGGGGTGCACCGGTTTAGGGTTTAGGGTTAGGGTTCTAGTTAAGGTCCCAGCAAAACCTGGCGAACATCCTCTGGGCCTTTGCAAAGGTGGCCGTCCAGACGCTCGACAGACTTCAGCCCCAAACCCCCCCGAAGCCCCAAAAATCCTCAACTTGAAGCCCTGAACACCTGGGGGGGTTTCTGAAATTCGGTGGTACCTTCTTGGGGTCCTGAGTAGAAGGGAATGCTACTGTTTGGGGGCACTCTATACCCTAAAACCCTAAGCCCTAAACCCTAAACCCTAAACCCGAAACCCTAATCAAGTTCGAAACCCCCCCCCCCCCCACACGTAGAAACAAAAACGCGCGACTCGGAGGCCCAGGCCTGGTGCCATCCGTGCCGTCGTCGACGATGCGCTGCTCACCATTCAGGCTGGTGAGTGGATAATGGGTTTTAGGGTTTAGGGGGTTAGTTAGGGTTTAGGGTTTAGGGTTTAGGGTTTAGGGTTTAGGGTTTAGGGTTTAGGGTTTAGGGTTTAGGGCTTAGGGCTTAGGGCTTAGGGTTTAGGGTTTAGGGTTTAGGGTTTAGGGTTTAGGGTTTAGGGTTTAGGGTTCTGACACAATGTGGTTGTTCGCATCTGCATGCATGTCGCCTTGACAACATTCTGACACATGTACTTGCTCTAAATGGCAGCCTTGCGCAGGGTTGCAATCCGTGAGTATCGTCTGTTTCACTGGAAAACAATTACTCGGAATTACTTCAGTTGTCTTAAAGTCAAATTCATGCGATATGTGCAAACAAAGCCAAATGTCCCGAAGCCTCTGCTCAACCTTTTGGGCGAGCACACGGGCTATTAACTTGAGATGGCGGGTTCCGACAACTTGCGCTTTCCGTGTCCAACACACAGCTGGTTTAGACCTTCGTCTAGCGCCTTTCGACATTTACAGAGGGTGTTCGTTTGCAACCACCTAAACGACACAATTTTGAGAACACATTGAAGATGACAAAAAGTATCACACAGGGTTTAGGGTCTAGGGTTTAGGGTTTAGAGTTTAGGGTTGAGGGTTTAGGGGTGCTGAAGAGGGAGAAGCGGGATACTACTAGTAGTACGATGAGGTCTCTACAGTTGTATGTATATATTATGTATATATGGTAGTTTAATTGAAGGATGTGCTGTTCTACCCTACAATCCCTTCAAGAGGCACTTTATGGATGATAAGGCCTGGTGCTTACATAAGAGGGGGGGGGGAAGGGGAGCTGCCTGAGACCCCAAACCTAAACCCCAGGCCCTGAAGCCCTACACCTAAACCGTATAAACCCTAAACCCGAAACCCTAAACCCTAAACCCTACACCCAAAACCCTAAAACCTAAACCCTACACCCTACACCCAAAACCCTAAAACCTAAACCCTAAACCCCAGCCCCCAAATCCTAAACCCCAAACCCTAAACCCTAAACCCTAAACCCTAAACCGCTGAACATGCCTCAGTCTTGGAGCGCGCTGAACATCGCCAACCTGACCTGGTCCTTTGCCAAGCTGGCGGTGCGGCACCAGGAGCTCTTTGCAGCAGTGGCGACTTGGCTGATGGTTTAGGGTTTAGGGTTTAGAGTTTAGGGTTTAGTTAAGGATTTAGGGTTAGGGTTTAGGCGCCCTACGCCCGCAGCCCGAAATCCTGAGCCCTTAGGCCCCCCAAACGGGGAAAGAAGTTGGCCGTGTACACCATACCACCCTAAACCCGAAACCCGAAACCCTAAACCCTGTACACCATACCACCCTAAACCCGAAACCCGAAACCCTAAACCCTAAAGCCTAAACCCTAACCCTAAACCCTAAACCCTAAACCCTAAACCCTAAACCCTAAACCCTAAACCCTAAACCCTAAACCCTAAACCCTAAACCCACTTAAGGAGACCGAGTGCCAGCAGAAGCTGCTGCACTTCTCCTCCCAGAATCTGGTGAATGTGGCTTGGGCCTTCGCCAAGGCGGGGAGCGCCAAAAGATGCCGCCACAGTGCGCAGAAGACTGTTCGGCTTTAGGGTTTAGGGCTTAGGGTTTAGGGCTTAGGGCTTAGGGCTTAGGGTGGAAGACATGGAGGGTTCTCCTCGAGTTGCTGCGGCGATTTTAAGTTTCAGGGTTTAGGGTTTAGGGTTTAGGGCTCAAAAGTTTCAGGGCCTAGCCCCCCCCCCCCCCTCCTCGCCAGTGGGCGCCAAGGAACCCTGAACCCTGAACCCTGAACCCTAAACCCTAAACCCTAAACCCTAAACCCCCCCTCCTCCCCAAGCCGAGGTGGTGCTGGCGCGGCAGCACTTCTTCGAGCGGGTAGCTCGCCGGGCTGTCGAGCTCGCGCCGGACTTCAACCCTCAGAATTGCTCCAACGCGGCCCCGGCCTCAGCATCCCTTTGAGCGAAGTCTTGAGGGGGGGTTTAGGGTTTTAGGGTTTAGGGTTTAGGGTTTACGGTTTTAGGGTTTTAGGGTTTTAGGGTTTAGGGTTTAGGGTTTAGGGTTTAGGGTTTAGGGTTTAGGGCTACCCTATTTCGTCTGTTTAGAAGTCGGCCCCTGAGTTGGCTTTCGGGCCAGGTCTTTCTGGCTTTTCGTTCTCTGTTGGTGCTTCTGACCCTAAACCCTAAACCCAAAACCCTGAAACCCTAAACCCTAAACCCTAAACCCTAAACCCTAAACCCTAAACCCTAAACCCTAAACCCTAAACCCTAAACCCTAAACCCTAAACCCTAAACCCTAAACCCTTTCATTCGTTTTATGTGTGCTCAGAGGTCTGGGCCTTTGCTGCCGTGGGCCTGGCCAGCCCCCACCTCCTAGCTGCCACTGCGCGCCGCGCCGAGGAGCTGGCGCCGGAGCTCCAAGCACAGGAGCCTGGAGTGGGGGAGGGGAGGCGTTTAGGGTTTATAGGGTTTATAGGGTTTATGGGGTTCACAGGGTTTATAGGGTTGATAGGGTTTATAGGGTTTATAGGGTTGATAGGGTTTATCGGGTTTATAGGGTTTATAGGGTTTATAGGGTTTATAGGGTTGATAGGGTTGATAGGGTTTATAGGGTTTATAGGGTTTATAGGGTTTACAGGGTTTATAGGGTTGATAGGGTTGATAGGGTTTAGGGCATCACGTGAGATATAGGCAGTGGTTGAGTAGGGCGTGGGTGTTTAGCACCTGTGCGGTGCAGGACCTGGCCAACCTCGCTTGGGCATTCGCGAAGCGTCCTGGCTGAATGCGTGTGACACGTCTAGGGTTTAGGGTTTAGGGTTTAGGGTTGGGGTTTAGGGTTTAGGGTTTAGGGTTTAGGGTTTAGGTTTTAGGGTTTAGGGTTTAGGGTTTAGGGTTTAGGGTTTAGGGTTTAGGGTTTAGGGTTTTTCCGACAATGGGGCTTTCCTTTTTGGGGGTTCAAGGAGGTTTATAGTATTTGTCAGGGGGGGGGGGGGTGTATTCGGGGTACCCCTATTTTCGGAAAATTCCCATATAAGGAGGGACCCCTAGACGGGACTCTGGACCTTATTCTCTCTACACAACCGCGAATACATAAGTAAAATAGAAAAATATATACCTTATATAGGGTCCCTCAACCCTAAACCCTAAACCCTAAACCCTAAACCCTAAACCCTAAACCCTCCTTCAGTTCCTTGAAGTCTGAGTTTGCTTCGGCTTGTGCAGGCTGGGAAGGCGTGATGCGGCGCTGGAAGAGACCGTTGCATCCGAAGTGGTGCAAAAGGCCAGGTTTAGGGTTTAGGGTTTAGGGTTTAGGGTTTAGGGGGGTTTAGGGTTTAGGGTTTAGGAGCAAGAGCTGGCCTCCCCCCCAAAAAAGAAGAGTCGTCTTCTGCGGCTCCCGAGGTCGACAGCTTCTCACCACAGCACCTCTCGATCATCGTGTACTCTTTCGCCGGCCACCTAGGACTCTTCCCTGGCGCACCAAGGGAAGTGAGACACTACTAAGCCCTAAGCTCTAAGCCCTAAACCCTAAACCCTAAACCCTAAAAACCCTGTGCTGTAGGCTCAGCTGCTGGCCGCAGGCGCCGGAAGCACCGCAGGAGAAGAGTGTGCCAGCCCAAAGCCTCTCCAAGGGTAGGGTTTAGGGCTTCGGGCTAAGGCTTCGGGCTTAGGGCTTCGGGCTTCGGGGTTAGGGCTTAGGGCTTAGGGTTTAGGGTTTTAGGGTAGCATACCCCAAGACCACCCAAACACTACTCACTGCGAACCCAACCGGAGCCAGCCCAAACCAAGCCGAAGCCATTCAAAAAACTCACACGTGACACATGTTTAGGGGGTGCCGAAGTCATGGCGGCAGAGGATACCCCCCCCCCCCCCCCTTCAGGTTGTTGCGTGGGGGACGGTCTGAATCGAAGGGTCCTCTCATGAATATCCGGGCCGTGAAAGGCTTCCGATTTTTGAGGAGTGCCAAGGTCCCTTGAAAGGTTACTCCCTCGGAAAAGGAGCCGAGAACGGTTTTTACAGGTGAAGAACGGGGGGCCGGCCAGGGCGGCCAGCACAACCAGGGCGGCCAGGGCGGCCAGGCCCAAGGTTTAGGCAGCGCCCAGCGAACCTTCAAAGGCTTCCCAGACCTTCCTAGGGGCCCCCAGGAGCTCCCAGGGCTCCAAAAAGCGAAGGACGGAGTTGTGGGGTTTAGGGTAATAAAATGTCTGTAGTGACCAGCTAAGCGACTCTAGTTAGGCGACTTACCTCAGGGGCGTGCCTGGCAGGCTCTGCAGCCCAGCAGAGCCTGCCGTGGTCTCGCTGAGCGCTCGACTGCGCCCGCCTACCCCAACAGAGGTGAGAGGGGTGGCGGGCGGGTTTAGGGTTTAGGGTTTGGGGTTTGGGGTTTAGGGTTTAGGGCTCCCCCAGTCTCTGCCATCTCGAAGCTGAAGATGCACTCTTACTCCGGCAACCAAGGCTTCAGGGCCTTCAGGGTTTAGGGCTTAGGGTTTAGGGGTTAGAGTACACAGAAGTCCTAAAGGCAAAGCGGCAGGGCCCGTGCCCATGTTGTTGAACCCTGAACCTCAACCCCTAAACCCCAAGTCCTCTAAACCCGAAACCCTACGTCCTCTAAACCCTAAGCCCTAAGCCCTAAGCCCTAAGCCCTAAGCCCTAAGCCCTAAGCCCTAAACCCTAAACCCTAAACCCTAACCCTAAACCCTAAACCCTAAACCCTAAACCCTAAGCCCCAACAGTCTGGAGGACTGCAAGCCATGCCGAGAGTCTTTGGGGAGGCCCGCGCTGCGACTTACTTCAATGTACCCGCGTGGGGGTTGTTTAAAAGTTGAGGGGTTTAGGGTTTAGGGTTTAGGGTTTAGGGTTTAGGGTTTAGGGTTTAGGGTTTAGGGTTTAGGGTTTAGGGTTTAGGGTTTAGGGTTTGGGGTGTTAGGGCTTGTTTGGAGGATCCTTGTGCAGGAATTCGGGGGTGTAGAAGGCGGTACTCCTATTTTGGGAAAGGCCACGTCGAGGAACTCATAGTAGTGACCCAAGATTGGCAGCTGCAGGACCTGCGCCGGTCCAATATGGCACCTGCCCCTTCGACGCCTGCTATGGTTGAGGCGAATCTGGGGGTTTACGAAAATAGGGGACCCCTCAAAAATGGTCCCCAAATAGTAGGACTCAAAGGACCCCAAGAACATACCCCAATTTCGGAAACCACCAATCTGAACCTGGTGTCAGTGTCAGAGTTTACTTGTGATTTTGCGTGTTCCTAAACCCTAAACCCTAAACCCTAAACCCTAAACCCTAAACCCTAAACCCTAAACCCTAAACCCTAAACCCTAAACCCTAAACCCTAAACCCTAAACCCTAAACCCTAAACCCTAAACCCTGCGCAGGCCATCCTGAGTGCTGCTTCAAAGCGCGTGAGGCACCCTGTTCGGGTCGTCAGGTCACCTCTGACAGAATGCATCCTGGTTCTTGGGGTTTAGGGTTTAGGGTTTAGGGTTTAGGGTTAGGGTTTAGGGTTTAGGGTTTAGGGTTTAGGGTTTAGGGTTTAGGGTTTAGGGTTTAGGGTTTAGGGTTTATGAGGGAATTAGGTACCTTCTAGCCCCCTATACCTAAAAATACCCTTTAAGGGTTCATATAAGTGTATAGGATACCTCATAGGTACCTTGTTTCCTATGCCTATACATCCCCTTTAAAAGGGCTTCATATGAAGTATAGAGGGTAGCTCACTCCCTCCGTCCCTAAAAACCCTAAACCCTAAACCCTAAACCCTAAGCCCTAAAACCCTAAAACCCTAAAACCCTACTCGCCAGTAGGAACGACCTGGCAGGGAGTTCGATGCCCAGGGCCTGACGAACCTTGCCCAGTCCCTGGCAAAGCTGGAGATACAGCGGGAGGGCCTTCACAACGCCTTGGTTGAGGAGCCTCACACCCTAAACCCTGATTCCTGAACCCTGAACCCTAAAGCTGAAAGCCTCAAAGACACAGCACTGTAGTTAATAATCTTAAGTTAAGATTCCTGAACAAAACAGATTAAGGAATCATCTAGGAGCATAAGCAAATATGGTAATATACTTAAACAAGAGCAGAAGATTCTACTTTTGTAAGAAACCGAGCACCCCAACTCCTGAACCCTAAACCCTCGAGCCCGGAAGCTCCACAGCTAAGCATCTGGCTACTTGAGGAGGCGACGCCCAAGATCTCCACCTTCACGAATCAGGAGCCGGTGCCTCAAGAGAGCTGCATTTTCTTATGCTAATATGGTGAGTTCTTTAAATTTGAGTCCCTGTTTTTTGGGTATCCTAAATAAGAGGGGCCGCCTTGTAGTAAGAACCCCAAAGGAGACCCTACGCATGGTCCCTTTGAGGGTCCTTATTGTAAGCCTCATAGGAAGGGGACCCAAAAGGGACCACTTTCGAGAGCTGACCAGATTTTATTAGGTCATGCTATGTTATCAAATTCTTATATCTTATTCTACTTTAGATTGTGCTACGTTATGTTTGCTATGTTATTGTTGAGTTCGATTGGTTTCAGTCTGACAAAAACTATGTTCCGAATGGGTCTACGCATTGCGTGGAAGCGGGAAGAGCTCGATTTGAGCACCTAAGAGTCCTGAGGTGCGCAAGCAGAAGGACCTTAAAGCCCTAAAGCCCTAAAGCCCCTAAAGCCCTAAAACCCTAAACCCCTAAACCCTAAACCCCAAAACCCCAAAACCCTAAAACCCTAAAACCCTAAAACCCTAAAACCCTAGAACCCTAAAACCCTAAAACCCTAAAACCCTAAAACCCTAAAACCCTAAAACCCTAAAACCCTAAACCCTAAAACCCTAAACCCCAAACCCTAAACCCTAAACCCTAAACCCCAGGCTTGCGATGTTTGCCTGGGCCACGGCGCGGCTGGGCCGCTTCACCGGCCGCGCCCTGCGCCTGGTCTCGAAGGAGACAAAGGCTCGGCTCCAGGACCTGACAGCGCAGGCCGGGCAGCGAACTTTTGTACACGTATATACATGTGTATATTCTATATATATATATATATATATATATATATATAGATAGATATACATACATATATATGTATATTTTTAAGGGGCTGCGCCCATGGGCGGGCAGCGCACGCAGAAGCCCGGGGCGAGCAGTTTCTAAGCATGTTGAGGCCCCTAAACTCCCTTAAAATCTCTAGGCGTTAAGCTTCTAAGCATTTTCAGGCCCCTAAACTCCCTTCAAATCTCTAAGCGTTTGAGGCTCCTAGACTCCCTTAACGTTTCTAAGCACTTTATAAGGCCCCTAAACTCCCTTTTTCCTATCCCCGGGCTTAGACACGTCGCTTATGCCCGCCCTTTGGGGGGCATCATGCTCCTGATGCGCCCCCGGGGTCCCGCCCCGGGAGCCGCTGATGCTCCTGATGCGCGCCTGGAGGTCCCGGGCTGGACCCGCTGATGCTCATGATGCGCGCCCTCTGGGGGCCTCCGTGGCGACGCAAAAAACCACGAAAAAAAAACCGTTCACCGGCGGCACGCGGGGGTCGGCGGCACTGGCGTCCGGCTAATTCTGCTTCGCAGAAGGCCAGAGGC